GTTATCGGCGCCGGGGTTATCGGTACCGGGGGTTACCGGTGCCGGGGTTATCGGTGCCGGGGTTATCGGTACAGGGGGTTACCGGTGCCGGGGTTATCGGTACCGGGGGTTACCGGTGCCGGGGTTACCGGTACCGGGGGTTATCGGTACCGGGGTTATCGGTACAGGGGGTTACCGGTGCCGGGGTTACCGGTACCGGGGGTTACCGGTGCCGGGGTTACCGGTACCGGGGGTTACCGGTGCTCCCTGTGCTCACACGCAGCCGCCGCCGAGGCTGCTCCTGCGGGACCCGCGGGGCTGATGCGGGGCCGGGGCGAGGGCAGCGCCCACCGGAGCGGAGCATCCGTGCTTGCAGGGTCCCCGGCAGAGCCTTACGGGAAAAGGGAAAGCCGTCCTCGCAAACCTCCCCCGGCCCCGATCTTTGCGGAAAGGCTCCTGCTGCAGTTTCAGCGCTTGTTTTTTGATAAGTGTTTTTCTCACAGCTGGGTCCCTCTTGACAGATGCTGACGTAGAAGACAGTTTAGGTTTCAAAGACTTTAGGTAACATATTTTTAAACTAGATATTATCATCTTTCTCATTTTGCATTCCATATGTGTCACTTATTCCATATACATATATATAGAAAGAGTTTTTTTCCTGTCCATTTCCAGTCACCTGCATTGATCTCCTTCCCCTGCCCATGGCTCTGCCTCTCTATGTCCATGCTGTGGCCAGGCAGCAAGGAATAAGGCAGGGGAGTAGCTACAGGATGGGGAACACATGGGAGGCCATGGGTCATGGGATGTGGGTCTTGCCAGACTCCAAATTCTGCTTCTGAGTGAAAAGTTCCCATGCTGACATGTGGAGCCAAGAATCCACTTTCATTGTCAGTCCAATGTAGCTGTTCAATGAACAGCTATGGTCCTCCTGTGTATTCCAATGATAATAACACTTCTATCTTCCAGATTATCTAATTTTTCCTGATTCCACTTAATAACACATTTAAAAATGTTGTTCATAGCACCCTGATGTCTATCCTGGTCCTGGCATTGTAACCTTTATCAGGGCATATATACCATGATGACAGGTTAAACATTAGATTTTTCCTAGTTTGGGGGTTATTTGCTATGGAATAAACTGGGCATCACAGCCTTGCACTATGTCAGCCATAGGCTCTTTGAGAGACTAATGAAGATATTCTTGGCAAATAGTAGAAAAATATTCCAGATGAAGACAGGAATTCCTTCTGCAGGAGGAAAGATTTGTATATTTGGTGTACATTCCCAAGGAACTGGTTCTTTGCTCAGAATTTTGTATTTATGGATTCACAGGTCTAAGAGATGCATCAGTTCCTGACTGTGGCAGAACTCCAGTTGCTTCAGCAGAAGCAGAATGAGCTTTGCATTTTCTCTCTGGAGTTTCTTGCCAGAGGGCTACAGAAAGACACACTGGATGTTTATTACAACTATAGCAAGATGATCTGGGAGAATTCTGCTATTTTTTGGTCCCCCTGAAGCCATTCTTACTGTAGCTGTGAGATTCTTGTGCATCCAAAGAGCCGTTTCATTATCCTCCCATGCTGTTCTTGCTGGCATACATCATCACTGGCTTTAGAGCTGCAAGCTCAGAAAAGGAGTGCTATGAGATTAGTGCAATCATATTTCCAGCAAAATCCCAGGCATGTTAGCTTTCTCCAGGTGCAAATTATCCAACTACGGGTATGTACTAGAACCTCCTGAAACACTCAGCCCCTCACTGGTTAAGGAATTAAGATTTGACCCCTTACACAGCAATAATCCCAACCAGCCTCTCCTGCCCTCAGACCCCTGATGGATCTGCTGATCCCATGTGTTCCATGTCATTAGACAAGTCTCTGATTGATGCCTGTCTGGTTTTTATCTATTTAACACTTCAGGAGCAGGAATGGTTGTGTTGTGCAATAAAATAGTTCGAGATTTGTCCCTGTCCTTGAGCAAAATTCCAGTTACCTGTCTGTCTCTGAGGAGACCCTGCATGCTGGATGTACTAAAGGTATTCTGTGTCTTTCCTTCTTGTGTCTTACTCTTAAATGTCAGAAGGTCTCTGTTTCCTGCAAGGCTGGCTCCTCTCTGGACAGAAGAATTAATATGAGTGCAGATACACAGGCACCAGAGGCTTTGGAACTGAGGAGCTGCAGAACTCCTCCTTTTGCCCTCAGACAATGGTGTCTGTTAGATTTTGGGGCACCAAAAGTATAGCTGAGTCCCTGAATTATTAATTACCAAGCTTTACATTGCTGTGCTACTAATGTGCACAGCCCAGACATGTGTTACAACCCAGCTCGGGTTTGCCCAAGGTGGCAGCAGGGTGAGAGCTCCCTGAGTGTTTCTGGAACCTCCCTCCCAGCTGAGCTTTCAGCAGCCCCACAGAGGCTTTGAGATTCCTCTCACCTGGCATGGACACACCAGATTTCTAAACAATGGAGGTAGCACATCTAAAACAGAAACTGCAACCAAATTTTAAATTCATCCTCCAACTTAAATCAAATAAAAATTCAGGTGGCAGGAACTGGGAAGTGCAAATAGTCCTCCATGATAACCAAAGCTCAATTTCCTCAGGGTCAGAGTATGATCTGGAATTAGTTGCCACTGACATGGGAACAGTGCTTTCATGTGCATTATATCAGGCCAGAGCCTGCTGTTATCATATGCTCTGACTGGCTCTGAGATTCAGCACAGGCAAGTGGGTGGAAGGGCACATTGTACAAAATGGGCTTCAAAAGGAGAAATAAGAAAAGAGCAACAATGCCATAGCAATTGATGTCCTGTGAATAGTTACAGACTTTATTATTCAAAATACAAATGGCAATTACATAATAGCTGCTAATAATACAACTTCAGGGTAGTTGGAAAAGAAAAGCTGTATAATGGATTTGATAGTCCTTGAGGTTCAGCTGTAAGGTTTGGGTGATAGAACAAAGAGAACTACCATTTTAACAATCTATTACACTACACCATTGTAACTGTGCCCCCTCTCCACTCTGATGGGCTTTGTCTAGTGACCCACTGGAGCTGGATCTTCAGACTTCTTTTTCTTTTTCTCTTTCTTGGAAAACAGTCATACAGAATGACTGACAGCACATCCAGTTCCTGTCTGATTGCTGGCCTCCTGATTTTCGACGGGATGTGAGACCCTAGCAGGTGACGTTAACAGCCAGCTCCTACCTGTGCTGTCCTACCAGCTCTGAGTGCTCCAGCCTGGCCATGGCTTGGGCCATCAAAGTCTGCCCTTTTGTTTGGTGCAGCCCATCTGTGTGGGAATTCAACCCATCAATGTGCATTGTCCTTTGCTGGGGTGAACTCTCAGATTCAGAAGCCTCTGAGCCTTGAACACTCCTTACTGTGTGTTTTCTTTTTAGGAGGTTCTTCTCCCCCCTCTGTGTGGTAGTCAAGACAGAAAAACAAACAAACAAAACCCAAAAAATCCTGTTTTCCTCAATAGAAAACTCTTTGCTAATGAAGGGGGTCTTGGCAAAGAGTGGAAGGGGTAAGTCACTTTCTGTGTGTGGTGTACATGGGGGCTGTTATTGGGGAGGTTAATTCCTTCACCCCTGCCTGCAGCTCATTCTGCGGGGGCTTCTTTGAGTCCTCCTGCACAGGTACAGGAACAGTGAGCAAGGACATCCCCACATTCAGGCACTGAGCTCACAAAGAGCCTTCTCATCTTTGATGAACAGTTCAAAACTCGTACACCTCTCACATTGTGTAAACTCAGCCCTTCTGCAAGCACATCGCTGGTTTGAGGCCAGAGAGCTGCAGCTCTGCAAGCAGGACTTTGTCAGAGGAGCTCCCCTTCAGAGGTGTTTGGAGTAGAGGCCAGCAGCTGACAGACACTGCACAGACCCTGGCACAAGCTCAGGAGAGAGGTGGATATGTTTGACAAGGTGAGGAAGACTCAGGCAGCACCCTCCCCTGTGCTGTACATTCCCTGGCTTTTAAGAAATGCCATCCTGGAATGGCTCATTATCTCTGTTCTCTTCCAAGATCCAATTAATTTAAAGCATGATAGGTTTGCTGGGTTCACTCACACACCAAAGGAAGGGAAGAATGAAGATAGGACATCAAAAGTATTGGTACAATATGCATTTACTTCAAAACTCTGTCCCTTGTGTAGCTCTGATCAAAGGAAGAGATGTGACAAAGGCTGAAGTTGCCTGAGCTATCAAGAGAAGTCATGCAGAGGCTGACGGCAGCTGTAGCATCCTGCTGAGTTTTATCTGGGGACAAGTCACCAGCAGGGCCCTGATTCAGGGACCTCACTGTGTGGCAAATGTCTGTGGGTGGCTGTTGAGGGTTGTGTCAGCTCAGAAAGCCCCTGAGCTGTGGAGCTCTGGTGAAAGCTCACTCCCTCAGCTGGAAGGATCCCTCATGGATTCTGGGAAGGATCCCCCAGGATCTATGTGTTTGCCCAGTTTCTGGGTTTGGGAGGAATGTTTCAGCCACCAGCAGCACTGGTGACAGGTACCTTGCTGTGTCACCCCTGGCCAGGGGTGCAGCTCTGCCACACAGCCCAGGGCAGCCAGGACTCAGGAGAAGCTTGGCCAGAGGACAGAGGATGCTGAAGCTCTGCCAGATTCCTGATCAGCAGAACAACCACAGGCACCAGCAGCTGCCTGTGATGAGCACAGGGGATGGGGGCAGGAGTCTCTGTGAGGCTGAGCTGCAGGGTCCCAGCAGGGTGCCAAAAGTCCACCACTCTGGGTTTGCAAACGCATGGAAGCAGGAGCACAAACAGCCAGGAAAGGAGGGGAGATTCTGAGAGACCCTTGTGCTGAAGCATTTAAAAGTTAATTTTCAGCTCATTCAGTCAAAAGAGGTTATGAAATTACAGCAATAAAATCTGAAGAGCATAATCCAAATGGCACTTTCCTGGGAGGTCTAAAGAGCTCAAACACAAAAGTACTGATTATTGTGCTTTTAAATTATAAGTTAAACTACTTTACCACCAAGGGAACAAAAAATGGCCAGTAGGGCATCCTTTCTGAATGGGGGCTCCAGGGGCAATCTTGGTTATTTTACATCCAAATTCCCTTCCAAGCAGTCTGAAAAAAAGGATTAATACACACTGGAGAAATGTGATTTACTGGAGCATGCAGACACATGCGTGGCAGAGAAATAACCCCCTTGCTGGAAGGAGGCACTGTGCATAAAGAGGACCTCTCAACACAACCCCTTTGGATCCCTATGAGGATTTCCACTGGTTTCCCCCGCAAAAGCTCTTGAAGAAACTGATCTGGGTGGGACGGTGGGCATGGAGTAGGTTTGATGATGGACAGACCTGGCAGAGGGTGGTTGGCTGCTGCTCTGCCTGCACTGGATACACAGATGGCTGTGGGACAGCTTCAGGGAACTGCAACAAAGAGGAACAGCTGGACAGGTTTAGAATGAAAAGGGCATTTCTCACTGCTGTGCAAAACTGGAGAGTGCTGGGATTGTTCAGGCACGTCCCTATGCAGCCCCACATTGCCCCTCTGCCTCTGGAGCAGCCAGGCAGCACTGGGGTGACTCACCAAAATCTAGCACTGGAAAAAACTAGAGCCTCAAAAGCTCAGTGTCAGGAGCTAACAAGAGCACTGAGGAGTGAGCTCTGGCCCCAGGATCAAGCAGCACAAAGATTTCCAGGCCCACTTGGAGACTTACATTTCTGTAACAACTGTGGACAAGGCAGTAATTTTCCATTTCTTTACTTACTGGTGCAGAATTCTAAACAACCCAGGCAAGAAATCAACACACAAACCACCCAGACAGCATATGGCTGCAGAACACTGCCAGCCAGCATTCTCTGCTCCCAGCTGCAATTATCCAGCAAAACACATTACCTGGGCCAGCTTTGGCTGGTTTAGCTGCAGAATTTTGAATAACTTAAATGGAAACAGGCCCATAGGGTGAAGTCAAGGCCCACCAATATGCACTGCTGGGTAAAGTCAGGGCAGGTTTTTCCTCTTCACAACAGTAATACACTACTTCTATCAAAAGCTTTTGTACTTAAATCCTCTGGAACTATGTGGAATAAGTTTAGGAATCAACAAAACCAGAAAAGACATACCTTAAGGTATATGTCTTTCTCTTGTCAGTTCCCTTGGTTTCTAGCCACCAGCATCACTTGGCCCTTGGCCACTGGAACCTCTCCTGCAGCAAAGAGACCAGGCAAGCAGTGATGGGTGGGCATCTGCTGGGAGCCAGCCCAGCTCAAGGGAAAAACATGTCATTTTATTGAACCTGAAGATTAAGTTTTCAGACAAACAAACAAACAAACACAAAAACAACTAAGCTACTATTAGAGAGCTCAGCTAATAAAGCCTCCCAGGCTGTCACACTGGCAGTGAGGTCACATCTCAGCCCCCCAGCTGGTGCTGGACAGCAGCTGCTTGCTGCAGCCCAGTTACTGCCCTTTGGGTTTGGGTTCTGCAGGGGCTGGGCACCTCCCCAGCCGTGGTGGGCAATATTCTCCTTGCCAAAATGAAGCTTGGCTATATTTTGAAATTCCTGTGTTTCTCCTGGATTCAGGGAGCTCTGCTCAGGGTTCAGAACCTGTCAGAACAGAGGAGGGGTTGTTCCTCTGCTCCAGAGCTAAGGTACCTCAGGTACCAGGAGAGGTTTCAGGAATGCTGATTTCTTTCTTCTGCTCAGCTTTCTTGCTCCAGGGACTGATCTAAATCACAGTCTTGTGGGGTTCCTCCCTTTCCAGGTGTAAGACGAAAAATTACAAAACCTCTTCTTGCTTTTGATATGTTCAGCAAGGATAGGAGGCACAAATCCCTCGGGGCTGCTTCTGGGGCAGGGACCACTGGGCCAGGGCTGGAAGCATCAGGGATGGGGAGAGAATGCTGGCAGGGGCTGCCCATGCTTCCTGCCTGCCCTCCCCTGCACCTGCATGGTGTCCAGCACATCTCTGAAATGCTGAAACCCTGAAATCATGAAATCATGAAACCCTGAAACCCTGACCATGAGGTTGCAGAGCCTTTGGTAGCACAAAGAGACCCACACATGGCAGGGGGCTCCTGTTGGGAAAAAGTCTGGAGACCAAGAGAAATGCTGCTGCTGCTGCTGCTGCTGCTGCTGCTGCTGAGGCTTTTCTCAGGAGGAAATACAGAGCAGGATTTCAAAGACTTTGGTCGGTTCAGTGCCATCCCCCTTGGCGCTGGAACCTCCAGCAAGCCTGCCTGGATCCTCCCTGGAAACCCATTACTCCTGTCCACAATGCTTGATTACACTGGATGATGAATTAATTTCTGTATTTGGGGCTTATCCAGTCTGGGACTCAGGTCCTCTCCATTTTATTTCCAGTTTTTTCCTGCCCTAGCTGATAACTCATTCAGGAAACTTCCCCTCAAAGAAGCCCCTCCTGTTAGATTTTCCCAGCTGAGGCCCTCAAGGCTGGGGGCATCAGGTGATATATCTGCCAAAAATTTTTTCTATTTTCTTGAGACTTTAGAGTGCCTGGGATTTAAATGCACTAATGTTCCGTGTTTTCTGTTTCCTTGATTAGCCTGGCAAGCACAGAAGCCAAACCTTTCCCAGAGGCACATGAATGGCTGAAAAGGAGAACCAGGAGCCTCTCTTTGTTCACTTAAGAATTTGTGAATAAAAACTGAAAAGAAACTGAAGAGACAGGCATTTCCTTTCTGTATAGAGAATTCAATGCCAGAGCTGGGCTCAAAAATGCATTTTCCACTTTCTATTCAGCTCATTTGTGCTAATCAACATGGGTATAATCTAAGTGAAACAAGTAAGTGCAGGTCAGTGGCCCTGATGTGGCTTGCTGGGATGGAGGGATGTCTGGATTAGACCAGCCTGAACTGATCTGTGGACCTGAACCCTAAAACACTCCTGTGAAGGAAACAGTCTTTGTCAGCACTGGAGACCTCATTTGAGAGCAGAGGTACACCATAGGTCTTGGGCTGGCTCCTTATTTTGGAAGTCTAAATCCTCCCATTCTGATTCAGGAGAAAATCCTGAATTCCCTGGGAAGAGGGAAAGCACAGAACTCAGTGTGTTAGAGTTGTGTGGCAGCTGTGAACAAAGTCGATAAGCCAATATGTTTCTGTTTTGCTTGCAGCTCAGGTGATAATAAAATGACAGATTCCCCATGTACCAGAAGATCACTGATGTGCTAAAACTCAATGTGGCTTTGGAGGCAGCTACACCCCTATATCTGACCACCAGCCTGTGTTTTGTACTCCAGTCAATCAGCACTGACATGGAGCACTGGAAGGCCTGAGTGCTTTTGTTGCTGTGACAAGGAGAGAACTTCAGCAGTGAGGTTCTTTGCCAGGCTGTTCAGTGAGCAATCTTCTCTCTTCCCTCCTTAGTGTGTGATTGGGCTCAAACACAGCTTTTAAAAAAGCTTTAAACAGAAGACTCTGCTGTGTGTATGTGTGGGGAAATAGGAACAGCAAAATAATAGTACCCTGTAACATTAACCATCCCCTCGGTCCAGGGGGTTCCAGCTGTAGGTGTTGCCAGGAGCAGGGGCAGCTCAGGCTCCTGCAGCAGATACCATTGGTTCAGAGAATCCTCTCCCAGCTGAGGATTTTTCCAGACTCACCTGCAATTGCAGCCATGAGCAGGTGCCTCAGCAGAGCCCTCACTAAGCTCAGAGCCAGAGCAGTGCTAATCAATATGACCAGAGTGAAGATCTCTTGAGCAACATGAACCCTGACTAACCACATGTCTGTTTGATGACAGTCTGCTTTTACAGTTCTCTTTCAGGACTTCTGTTTCTTCTCCAGGACTGAATAATTCTTATTCAATGAGCACTTCATCAATATGCAGCTACATTCTGAAAATGAGCTGCCAGGACATGTCAGACATTTTCTGCTGGATGATATTCAAATTTCTTACATAGGCATTTTGATTCAAATGAATCTAATTCTCTAATAAAAGCTTTGAATCAACCTGTAAAACACTGGAGTAGTCTGGAGATAAACAATGAATATTTAGAACTCCAAATTGAGATAAAACAATGGTTTTTTCTCCACATCTGCTCATACTTCCTTCCTAGGGGTCAGTGCATTAAAGGAAAAGATGTGAAGTGTAATTGTCCTCCTAGTGCCTCCCTCTGTGCTGTCCATCACCTGCTGGGGCTGCCTGGGGGTCACCAGTCAAGTGGGTTCATGTTCTGCAGTAATATGATGGCCTTCAGCAATCTGTTCCCTCTCTCAAAGCTGCCCGTTACACCAGGAGAGCACAACGTGGGCTTCGGTGCTGTTATCTGCCTTTGCTCCCTTGTTTATCAAACACTTTGAAATATGTGACACTCCTTTTGCAGGCACTCCAAACCATCCAAGCACTCCCTTTCCACAGGGCTCAGCAATTAACACTGGTCTCTGGCAATAACAGCATAAGAGGAACCAGAAGACAAGCGGCAGCTCTTCACAGGCTGGGAATGTGCCTTTAGAGTTGCTGCAAGAAAACTATTCCTGGATACTCAGGCAGTTTATCCCTGGGTTAGGACAGAGATTTCCTAGAATCTCTTCAGATAGCTTGCAGGATTTTGTTCATGAAGATGCCAGAAAAACAGCATCCCCTCTCCTGTGCACTTTTGCACTGTGTTTCTTCCCCAGCCAGGAAAGACAGAGAAAACTTTTCTTGAGAAATTTATAAAGATACAGAAGTTTGCAAGGATGGCCAGAGGGGCCAGCTCCTGGTGCTGGAGGTCGGCCTCCTGAGCAGAGGGACACAGGGAGGGAGGAGGCACCTCTCTGGGGATGGTTGTGGTGCTCCTCCCATTCCCTCTGCTCAGCACAGCCTCGTTCTCTTTGTCATCTTTAACACCCCCCGGTCTCCATGGGTTCATTTTTCCTTATCTGAGCACATGCTTGGCTTAATGCCCCCTTAGCATGAAAAACTGCACACAGACAGGGATGACCATGCTCTCAGAAACGAAAAGTGAAGGTAACTGCAGCTGAGCTGATCCTTCATCAGGATGCTGTCCAAGGTGCAAAAGGATTGGGGGGCAAACTGAGGTTCTGCATTTTCAGGAGTTCTGAACTCCTAGCATCACAAAAGAGTGTCTTTCCTGCATTACAGATAATTTGG